AATTGGAACAACTAATTTTGTACTTGGTGTACTTGAATTGTGTTGAGTGCTGAAGTACAACTAATTGTTTGTGCTAAAGTGGAACTATTGCAAGTATACTTCGGATACACTTTAAATATCTTGCATTTAAATGACAGATATTATTCAAAGAGCATACAGTCCTCATCAGTAGTGACATTAAAACACATTTTAGGCTTAATATTAAGAAATGTGCATTGTGCACAAGTAGTAGCCTACTCCAAATAAAGTTTAATTTGAATTTTTATATCAGTTAGGCTTGATCGATATGTCCGTAAATGTTAACTATTCTTAGTATGAAATTGATGTATTTTAAATTGCTTTTTTTACTAGGGGAATATTGCGATAATGTCAGTAGTTGTCTTCATAGATAAAACTATAAGATAAAAAAACTATAAGATTTCACTACCATTTTTGTCTCACTAGAATAAGCTCTTTTATAAGCACTCCTGTATTTAATCTGAATGCGTCAAAGGTTTATATTTACCTATTTTTTTAGCGCTGAGCATTGTAACCAATAACAGACATTCATCAAATGATTTTCTGCTAGCTACACACAGTTACATTTTTAGATTGAGAACCATGTTTAAATGTGGGATTGAATTTAAAAATGCTTTAAATAACAGTGACAACTATAGCAATGGAGCGATCAAAAATCTGTGCATTAAGTTTTGCAAACTAATAGACCTGCCATTTGTTCTGTCATGTGTAATGTGTTTTTGTTTGTTTTTTTTGTTTTGATAAATTATATATTTTTGCAAGAAGATTGCACTTTTTGTATAACTCTCTCTTTCTATGTATTTATATGTATGTGTGTTTTTTTTAATTTTTTTTTATTGGTAACTATAGCTGTTGTATACAGATATACAACACCAAAGGCCGCTCACTCTTTGGGTACAGTGACCAAACTAGTCTCGCCTTAGCTGTGTGACACTCCACTAGGGCTGCACGATTAATCGCATGCGATATTTAATGCGCATCTTGTCAGAAAGCCGGTTCTGTAATCAGCGGTAAATCTCCATCACCTGCGGGCTTTCACATTGAGCAGCATTAACTACACAGAGCCGTTGCTCACTGATGAGTTATGCAAAAAATCGCGCGAATATGAACGTGGTTTAGAGCAGCTCATCAGTGAACAACGGCTCTGTGTAGTTAATGCTGCTCAATGTGAAAGCCCGCAGGTGATGGAGATTTACCGCTGATTACAGAACCGGCTTTACTGATAAGATGCGCGTTAAATATCGCATGCGATTAATCGTGCAGCCCTACACGCCACTTATCCAAATCCCCACTGATTCGGGACGCTGTGCTTTAGGGGGAAGGGTGCACCAGGACGAGCATGAGCAATGAGATTGCTCAGCGTGATCTGTCCAGTCAGTGGAGTGTTATTCTCTAAGGAGCATTTAACCCCATTCACATTGATCAACAATCACAGGTCATTACTTATTATTTGTTATACAACTCAAGTCTGCTTCTTAGCATTAGGGAGCGCTGGGATAGATTTTGATGAGTCATGTGGCTTATTTTTGTTATTTGTTGTTTGCAGTATGTCTGTATGGACCCATGAGAGTTGTGGCCCAGAATAGAGACTGTCTGACAGACTGAGCTTTCTTTAATACAGGACAGCAGTGATATGGGACCACCAAAGGCCACAGCTGCGGGAACATTGATTGATCTGACCTCGGGTCATATCTTGCCTTAGAGCCTACAATCACTTTCCCTTCTCTCGGTATAACTATTATCTGAGATGTCTCTTGTATGGTTTGATGTATCTGACCCTATAAACCTCACAGCTGCCCTTTTTTGCCTTTTTTTTTTTTTTTTTTTAAGCTGCCAGTTTTTAA